TGTGTGTGTGTGTGTGTGTGTGTGAGTGTGTACATATAGGAGCATACTTATATGTGTGTTGGATGTGGTGGGGTCTAACTCAAAATACAAAGGCCCTCAAGAATTAATTCTGGGGCAGTTCCAACTCTTCCTTTTGCCTGAAAAAAGGAGGGATGGGGAGAGCGGGAAAGAAGGAATTCATATTAGGGTCCCAGAAGAAAGAAATCTGGGAGGGTTCCGTTAAAGTGTTGATTAAAAAGAAATCAGCATTTGGTCGGGGAGTGTCCCTAAGAACTTAGCTGCACAAAAGCTCTTCAATAATCACTATGAAAATAATATCAACATTTATAATTATAGTGATTGTAGTAACAGTGGTCCCCATTTCTCATGTGCTCACTCGCTATGTGCCCAGCACTAGACTCTAAGTATGGGTCCTCATCAGCTCAGTTAACTATCACAAAGACCCAGGCAGGCAGGCACTGTCCACTGTCAGCCCAATTCCACAGACTCAAAGAGTTAAGACCCCTGCCCAGGTCACAAAGACAGTACGTGGGAGAAGGAGTTTAACCCTGCTCTGCTGAATGCTAGCCTCACCTGTCCCAGGAGAGAGAGAGGAAACATGCATGGGATCTATAGAGAAGGCAGCCCCAGCACCATGGAGGCCTTGGCTCCAGACAGGGAGGCCCCTTTGACTTGTGGGAACATCCCTGCCACCCATCCCCTACCTCCATCATTGTCCCTTGAAGGCTGAAGGTTCATCCCTTTAGCCCAGGCTCTGAGGGGAGTATCCCTCTTCCTCAGATGTAAGTACTTACATGTAAGGGTATGTAAGGGTACTTTAAGTACCCTCCTAAAGTCCAACAGAATTTTCTGTGATCAAAGTGTTCTTTCTCTGCTGCCTAACAAAGTAGCGGCTGCCTGTTACAGAGTAATTGAAAATGTAGCAAGTTCATTGATGAACTTAATCTAAGTTGCCACATGGGCTGGTGGCTACTGTGTTGAACAGAATCCCTCCAGCTACCCCTTTCCCTCCGGACCCAAGAGCTATGTTAGAAATACACAAAAAGTAACCAAAGACAGAAACATGGCCCACTAGGAAGCCCGCCCCCCCACCCCCCCCACCCCGGCCCCAGCCACCAAGCATCTCCTCCACTCTGTCACGGCCTTTCAGAAATCACTGGTCTGCTTCCAGCTTATCTGTCTCCCTTCCTCTTTTCCTTCCTTCTTTTTTTATCTTTCTTTTCTTCCTTCTTGCCCTTCTCCCCTCCCTCTCATTCCTTCCTTCTTTCAGTTCCTCTATTTCCTTTTCCTCCCTCCTTCCTTCCCTCCCTCCCTATCTTTTTCTTCCTCCCTCCCCTCCTTTCTTTCTTTCTTAGAAAAAAGCATCAACTTAATTAGATAAATCCTCAGAGCACGTGGCCTGGAGTTCGTCATGGAAATTAACCTGCTCCCAGATCTCAGATAGTGAAACAAGAACCGGGGTGTTTTGGCATAGCACAGTGAAATGGGAGAGGCCGATGGAGTTTCATACACTTCATCTTCCATAAGTGCCCCTCGACCCTCCAGTGCTCCCCACTTCACCGCCCCCATGCCCTTGCCTCCTTAGGTCACTGCTGCCTGGCCTCCTCTATTTCTGCTCTGGGCCCTTCCTTCCCCACCTTGACCCAGGCGTGGGGAGTGCTCCCCCTAACCCCGGCTCCAGGCAGGATCATCAAAGGGGAGGGGGGAAACCTTGGCTCCACCCACATCATGCCCCTGCCCTAGCTCCCCTGGCTAGGCCCTCTTGCACCCCATCCAGCTCCAGGTCACCCAGGGGCCCACCTTAGGCTTGGCCAGGGGCTGTCAATCACCTGATCCTGAGCCCAGGGTCCCTACTGTATGCTGCTGGCTGGGCGAAGCCCGGTCCATGAAAGGGGACTGGACGTCAATCCTTAGCGCACGGTAGCTACGATCGTTCTCCTCTCACCTAATTCTCACAAGGTAGGAATTCCAACTCCCATTTTACAGACTTGGAAACAAAGAATTAGAGGAATTCATCCACCCAGCTGACAGAAACACAGTTCACACGGGGCTCAGCCCAACTCAACAGCAGCTCTTGACCCTCTGCCAGCCACACGTCTCCACCACAGCAGAGCCTCTGCGCACGCGCAGACCCCCGCCCCGGCACTCAGCATTTGGCTCCTGGGCCGCGAGAATACAGAGGCGACTGGCACCCTGAGTGAGTTCCCAGGGTCTGTCCCCCATCCAACCCCCTTGCCTCCCATGTCCAAGGCTCTGTGATGGACCTCCCCCATCCCACCCCCTCAGCTCCAGGAACGGTCAGTCTTGACAACAACAGAAAAGAGAGACCAGTGACCCCTGCCAGACTAGGGGCATCTAACTCTGAAAGTGGGCACAGTCTTACTTCTCATCCCCTTCTGATTCATCACCAAAAAATATCAGGAGAACTCCAAGGCAGTCCATACATAAAACACAAAATTCAGAATTTCCAACTGATTCCACAGTGACCCACACCTAGCAGGGCCCCTGCCCCCAGATACATAGACAGCTACCTCCCCCCACCCTCGCATCTAATGCCTGGTGCGCAGCAAACACATGCACACTCACCCTGCCGTGGGTCTGGAATAAGTAAGCCTGTTCTAAACACTTAATGCGTTTTAGCTTATCTAATCCTCACATCAACCCCACGAGGTAGGGATTGTTACCCCCACTTTACAGATGAGAAAACTGAGGCACAGGCTAATTAAGTAAGCAATGTAAGGGCACGATTTTGGCCCCCAGCTAGCGTGCTCCAGAATGCATCCTCTACAGTATACACAGCTCCTCAATGAATCCATGTATCCACACAGTTAAGCACACCACACATCCGGAATGGGCTCCCCTATACTGCCTGAAAAGCAACACCACCCCCAATTCAGCCCCAAGCTCACAGTGATTTCAATGACCTGCTTTTTTGGGCTTAATATTGTTTTTGAGATTCATCCAGATTGATACATTTAACTGTTCAGTTTCTTTCTTTTTTTTTTTTAAATTAGTTGTTCATTTTCTAAAAACTGAGTTACACAACTTATCTACCCTCCCCCTTGAAAAAAGAACCATATCAAAACCTGGTACAGAAATGAAACCTCAGCACCACACAATATCCAGGCTCGCGGCTTTCTGGAATGGAATTCACAGGGGTCCCCTTTGAGACTAATACCATGTTATATAAAACTGGCTCCTCTGACATTGTGGGCACCCTGCACTTGACAACGCAACCATGATAAATTCTTCATTACGCTTAGTTATTTCAAAGGACCTTCACAGCTACAAGCCCAGCTGACGATCAGGGGAACCCTGTAAGGGCAACAGTGTCAGAGGCCATTTGATAAGAGAGGAAACTGAGGCTCAGAGAGGTCAAATAACTTGCCACAGAGTGATTTACTACAGAATCAAAACTGGATTGGGGTCTCCTGATGCCTGCAACTAGACCTCAGCAGAGCTCTGGGCCACCCAAGACTTACCTTGTCCCCTCATCCCAAATCAGGGATGCTGGGGCTTGGTCCACGGTCCAGCCCCCCACCCCCAACCAAGGATCAGATTTCCCTGAAATTCCCAAAGGAGACTCCAGGACTAGTGGGCCCGGAAATGGCCCTCACATAGCAAGCTGCACAGCTGAGCTCCCCGGGGGTGAGGGGGGCGGGTGGAGCTGGAGACGCTGGCACAGCCCCCGTGGGTACTCTGCCAGCAATTAGTGCTGGGGAAGGGTGCCAGGCTGGCAGAGCTAATTCCCCCACCCCGTCTTCTCATTTACACACACACACACACACACACACACACGCTTACCCACCCCGAGACCAGCAGCAGAGAGGCAGTGCAGCTTCCTTTCGGTAAATCTCGTCAGCAAGGCACACACAGGGCATGCAATTTGGTCATTACTGCTTTTAAACCACAGAAAAGCAGAATCCACCCGCCATTAACCCGTCCTGCTCCCCCTCCGGGCTTCACACCAGCTCAGTCATCAGCCTTCATCTCTAACTCCCACGCACCCCCTTTTGCATGCTCCCCAGAAGTTGCTTTCCAAAAGAAACAGAGTTTTATAAACACACACAAAAAAAACCTGACTACAGTAAGTCAAACCCGAATGGTGTCTTCCTGCCCACCTCTGTCCCCAGAGAAAACAATCCATGGTTCTGATGTCACCTTGGCTAAGACCCTTCCTCAAACACCCTAGGAATCCTGGACAATGCCAGTCGGATGAGGGGGAGGCAGCCTTTGGCCTGGAGGAGGAAAACTACCTAAGCAGGTGTGGCTCTTCAGATGGGAGCCTGAGTATTGGCCCCCATCCACCTGCGGGGGCCTGGTGTCACAGCTTGACATGGCTCTGCCCTCCAGGTACTGAGGCCAGCAGGGGCGGGAGTGGCCGTGAGAACTGCCCTCCTCACTGCCCGCTTCCTCCCTATAGCCTTGGAGCATTGGAAAGAAGCCCACCAGAGCTAGGGACCCTAGAGGGTCCAAAATCTGTGAAATCCTTCAAAGTATAAGCAGTATTTGTGCTGGTGAAATTCTTTTATTAAGAACATTCTCAAAGGGGTGCACATGAACTCAAAAGAGGAAGAATCCAAGACCCCCCCTCCCCAACCAACCCCACCCCCATCATGGACTCAGCAGTGCCTCCGGCCCAAGTGGCAGAAAACACAGGGCTGGGCTCCAACTGGCCCTCCTGTAAGTGACCTGACCGGCGGCCTTCCTCCCATGGGAGCTGCCCCTGGCCTCCTCCTCGCCTCGCCTGGAAGCTGCTCACTGGGATCGCCGGCCCTGGGAGCCGTGCCATGCCCCCTGGGCCTGTGCCCACTGGCCCTCCCGCCTGTCAGCCAGTGCTGCCCGCAGACCCGGCGGAGGACAGGCACAGCGGAGCCCACCACCCGGGCGGAGAGAGGAAGCCAGCAGCGGCTCAGTCTTGGAAAACCTCGCAGATGCTCTAAGCCACCTAGTGTCCGGAGCTGAGCTCTGGCCGTGGCTCTTTCTCTCCTGCTTCCCAGAGCGGACAATGCACGGGAGCCAGAGCAGGAGCCCGGGGCCTTCTCCAGAAACCTGAGGCCCGGGGGTGGCGGGGACCGAGCTGCCTGGGGAGACAGTGCCCAGGAAGGTGCAAAGGCCCTGAGCCTACAGCAGGGCTGGCCCCGGGAAGATGTTTCCAACACCCCTGTTCCTTGTCCCAGCCAGTCACCTGGAGATCCCCAGGGTCGTCTTGGACAACTGTCTCCTCTGGGTTCCTCTGGGTGCCCCCCACCCCAGCCTCCAGACCCCCTGCAGAGTCCCCCAGACTCTGGGCCTGCCACTCCCCCAGGGCTGCTCGGGCCCCTCCCACCCCCTCCTCTGCTCTCTCTTTTCTCTGTGTCCTCAAGACTCCTCTCACCTTGAGAAGTGTTAGGATTACCCAGCATTTACACTCAATGCTCTCCTTTATTCCTTAAGACTTATTAAGAATGATAATGAGTTTCGAAGGAGCCACACGTCTCCCTCTCTCTCTCTCTTCTCCATCCTTCCCTCTCTCTCTCTCTCTCTCTCCCCCCATCCCCCTCCACTCTCTTTCTCTACGTGTCTTTTCCACCAAAGACACACAGGACAAATCCAGACCAAAAGGGAAAAAAAAATTCCAACAATATGGAACAAGGGCACTTGAGGATTTATATTCAACAAATCCCTCTCTCTTCTTCCCTCTCTCTAGTTGTTCTCAATTATTCAGATTAAAAAAGACACACACACAATTCCCCCTTCCCTTCCCACCGTCCAGGCCACCCCTCGCTCTGCTGGACTTTGAACAGGGGGAGCAGGAGAAGGGCCCAGCTTGCCCATACACCCTCGTTAACGTGCAGCTCTTAAACGGTTGATTAATTTTTGCAGAATTTACGACAGGCTTTAGCATCCCCCCCACCACCCCATCACTGTGGCCTCCGAACCACAGCAACTTAACTTGGTGAACTTGATGAGGGTAGAGACAGGGGTGCCCCCCTTTCCAGTGGTCTCCCGTGGCTAGAACCACGGCCGCCTGGCGACAGAAGGAAGACGCATCACTGATGCCAAAGGCCAAGCAGGAGACAGACCCGCTCACAGAGCGGCGTGGCACCCACAGGGGAGATCACCAGACAGCCCGAAGCCAGCCATAGCTAACTTTTGGCCAAGTGGACTTCTAAATTCCAAAATAAGGAGGCCAGCAGAAAGTGGGCAGAGGGGAAACAATGCTCCCTGGAAACTGACAAGGATGCCCACGTTCCTGCCCACCCGGCCACACCACGCATCCCGGCAGAGGGATCGGCCTTATCGGTCTGCCGGGCTGCCCTTCAGAGAAGGGGAAGAACAGATCCTAATGAAATTATGGTTTTTAAAATGTCTATAAATTAAATCTCTCTCTCTGTGAATCTCCCCCTGCACTCCCTCCTCTCCAAGGCTTGTTTGCCTCTCCTCTGTTCCCTCTGCTCGTGTCTGTTTTTCTGATATAGACATCAAGAGGTTACGGGCTCAATTACAACTCCGCTGGAGTCTCAGCATCAGACTTGCCTGGCCTTCTCTTCTCCTCTTCAGAAATCAGATCCCAAATAAATCTCTCTTCTGCTTTTTATTTTTATTGTGAATGCCAAAAGCCTCAAGATTCATTCAGTTGACTCACAGCCTTTTTTAACTTACTTCAGATGGGGGAACTATCCTTTTTAATTGTGTCCAAGTAGTATAACATAAATGCTTTTCTCTTTATCTCATTCCGCTTTCTTAAGGACACACACAAACCCTTGGCTATATGTGAAATTTCAAAAAGAGGGGCAATAGCATATAAATGTGCCTAATTAGTGTCTGTCTATTGCGGGGGTTGCTGAAGAATATCAGTTGGACACTTTTTTAGTATATTTCTAAAGTTACAGGGTGACATCATAAAGCTTCTTATTAGCAAAAGGTCCATTTGAAAAAGGTGGAACATAAATGGTGATTTCTTTTTTTTTTAAAAGGAAAACATGGCGTCTACCCTCCCCAATACTGTTACTAGCTACGGAAATGAGATGTGCCGTCTCTATCATTTTACATCCTCAACAGCTGCCCCCTCAAAAAAGGAAAAAAAAGTTTAAAAATCCAAGTCATAGTCAATCACCATAGCTGTTGATTCCTAAGACGCAGAAATCAGCTTCGAGTTGTATGTAGGTCTAAGGGGTAAAAAACAAAAATAACCCCCCGCTATTATTCTGGAAATACTAACCAGAGGGGATTCCAAAAGGTACTTTTCCAGGAAAAAGCACTTGAGACAAAGACTGGAGAAAGCTGAAGTTCAAGGTGAATCAAAAAGAAAAACTTTGTCTTTCCAATTAACCAGACTGGGAAAGGGGGGCGGGGGTGAGGGGGGCCTGCACATTACTACCAACTCATTAATTCTTTCCTGTAAACAATGTAATTAAATTCTGCTAAATACAGGAGAAATACTCATTTTGGAGTGCCTCCCCCCACCTCAAAAGCAAATTCCTTCAGGTTACTCCCCCCATGCCAAGACTTCCCCTGCTGTACAACCTTCAGATGAATTTCCAAGCCAGGCGTGGACTGCACTGCTCTCGGCTGCAAGAATGACAGCCTCATATGTCTGAAAGCTGACACTTTAGCTTTTAAAAGAAATGGAGGAAAATAAGCTGTTGACTTCTTGGTTAAAGTATTTTCTTGTTCTAACTCATGTTCTTATGTCACTGGGCTAAAAAAGAGAGCGAGAGAAAGAGAGAGAGAGAAGAGAGATATGACTTTCCTTGAATGATCTGTTTAACCTAAGCCAGAGGAAAAAAAAGAAAGTCATTAATTACTTATGTGAGCTATTGCTTCAGAAAGACAATAAACCTGCCCGGTCGCCATGGATATGACATATTTGCTCTGAAAACAACACAATAATTAGCAAAGGGGAAAGATACAAGGAGAATATGCAAACTCGTGAGTTTAAAGCCACAGTGCTCTTTTCTACCCGTAAGCCTGTTCTGTTTGCAATCCAAATCAAACAAATTTTTAAAATATAGCAAAGAGGGAAATAACAGGAATGACTCCTCTCTCCTCTGAGCTAAGAAGTAACAACCACTCCACCCTCTTCCAAAATAAAATAATATAAAAGAGAACCAGGATGGTAGAAGGAGAAAAAAAAAAAATTGCCTCTGTTTTATTTCCTATAGCAGGGGTGGAGTCTGAGGTTTGTTTTTTCTTCTTTTTTTAAAAAGTGTTCTCTTATTTAGCATTGGACCTTCTGGCCAGATATAAATTTATTTATAAAGCCAAATGCCCTGTGTGCGGCTCAACTCTCCCCAAAGTAAGTGGAGATATCAAGGAGTGGAAGTGGGGGACTCGAGTTGAAAAAGCAAAACAGTATACTCTGAAAGCATCAGCTCCAGAGAGGGACATCCACTCCCCTTACCTTCAAGAAGATGGAACCCAGGCCTTACTTTAATATTAAAAATGCATTAAATGGTTTTACCTACAACTTAGTCCCAGAGGATCATTAGGAAATGCAATTGCTTTGTATCATATCTGTCAGCGTGATAAATATCTGAGTTTAGAGTGGGTTTGCAATTCTTCAGAGTGTCACAAACCAAGATAATTTTTTTCTGCTTTACTTTCGTAATTCATCGCACCCACTCCCTTCAAAGTCACAAGTCTACAGAAAAATACCTGAGGAGAGGAAAAGAGGAAAAGGGGGGGAAAGTTGATATGCTTTCACACACCAGACAGAGGTTACTGATATTCTCCTAAAAAGTAGAAAAATGAAGACTTTAAAATATTTAGGTATTTTTTTTAAAGTACTCCATTAAGTTTGAGTAAAAACTCCTTTCCCCCTCTTCCCAGAGGCTAGTTTTCCAAAAACAGATGGTCAGGATCTAAATGAGAAGCAAATATACCTCAACCCCCACAGGCAGAGAAATCTAACTTTGAACTTCTTTTTAAATTAAAAAAAAAAAGTGTGTGGGGGGGCAAGATAAACTATTAATAAGTATAAAAAATTAGCTGAGCTATGTTTTATTTTTCTTATTAAAAAATTCTTTAAACACAAGGAGAGCAGATATATAGGAGAGCTTCACATTTGACTGATTTCCTATTTTTTTTTTAACAATAGTGTTGTGTTTTTTTAAGATTGGATTCTTTGATCTTGAAAGAATTTTGCTCTTATATTATGGGGGAGAAGAGGGTGGTGGTGAAATGATCTGTTTTAAATGATGATGCAACTTAGGGATCAAAGCCTTGGCTTTCTTCTAGCCATAATAAGCAGTACTTGCCACAAAGCGTGAGTCTCCGGGCTCCTCTCCTTCGTAAGAAGGAAATAAAATGCACCGAGACTCAGAGAAAGACGCGAAGTGTCTGCAAGGTGCAAAGCCTAAAAAACAAAAAAGGCAGGGGGGCTGAAAAAGGAGGGAGGTACTGCCCCTTTAAACGTTTTAGTGCATATGGAGTTTGATTTCTGAAAGAGATCAGTTTAACATCTCCATAGAAACCAGCAACAGATTATCATCAACAGAATAAATAACTAGTCTAATAAATTAAACAGGAGGCATAAGATCGCTGGAAACCTGATTACTGAAGTTCAACAATATTCCCCATAAACTCTCGTTAACCGCCTCTAAGGTGGCTAACAAGATGGGGGTGGTGGTGTCAATCTCTCCAATTCGCAGGATTCCAGGGAGAGAGACGGTGGCCGCTGCCGGGAAGGGAAAAGTTTCCCACCTTGCCCTGGACAGAGTCTCAGAGCTCCAGTGAGGTGAAAGCCAGAAAGCCGAAGTTTGGGAAGTGGGAAAGCGGCTGGGCGTCAGCGGAGGCAGTGCGAATCGCCGGAGATGGCGCGGGACGCGACGCCCGCCCGGGACGCACAGCCTCGCCGCCACCAGGGCGCAAACCCGGAGCTTTGCGCTCGGGCGCCGAATGGCCCAGCGCCCCCTCTGGGCACGTGGAGCGCAGCCCGGGCGCAGCCCCCGGGGACCAACTACCCCCCTCACCACGCCCGGCGCAGCTGCTCCTGCTCAGCCCGGACAGCTCCCTTTAGGACGGCGACGTGTGTGTGTGTGTGTGTGTGTGTGTGTGGTGTGTGTGTGTGTGTGGTGTGTGTGTGTGTGTGTGTGTGTGTGCGCGCGCGCGCGAGCGCCGTGGCCAGGGCGGGGGGCGGGGGGGCGCACCAATTTACCCGGCGATCTGTTTTCCAGTCCCCTCGCGCGCTCTCATCGCGCGTCTGTACCAGCTTAGAGGCACCCTAAATTTACCAACTTTGCCCTACGACTACCCTGGCCTTTTCCCCCTCGCCGCCCCTATTTCTGCGTGTATGGGATGTTGGCGGGACAACCACACACTCTAAGGGTCGTGGCCTCAGACTCCGTCGGGGCAGAGACCCATAACCCGGAGTCACCCCCTCGGTCCAGCCGCCTTTGGGGGAGCTCCAGGCTCGTTGGAGGGGTGTTGTTGCTACTTCGCTGGTGGACAAGTCATACACACCGTACTTGCGCCCGCACCCTCCCCAGCGTTACTGGAAGGAGGTCCTCGCCGCACCCAGGGCCCACTTCCCAAGCTGAGGCTGGTCAGGAGGAACTTGTGTGGAAGGGTGAAGCGGACCCCTGACTCCCTCGGCACTCCTTTCCTCCCCCAACTCCGGACCCGGGTCGGGGATGGCTTGGAAGAAGAATCTGCGCCCACCCCCTAGAGAAAAATCTATTATTATTATCTTAATCTACGCCCCCAAAGTGTCCCTCCCGCCGTGATTGACGGCGCATACACCTGTTCCCCTCGCCGAGGAGCTTCCAACGCTGGGGACAGACATTCGCCCCAAAGCTCTGCAGCGGCCCAAAACCCGCCCGCCGCCCTCGCCCGGCCAGCCCCCGCCCGCCGCCCTAGTGCACCCCTGCCTCGTACCTTGCCACCCTAGCGGCGGCCCCCTCCCCTCCCAGGCCCGGCTCCCCAGCCCTCCCGCTCCCGGCCGCGCTGGCTTCGGAAAGAGAGAAAGAACAGAAAGCAAAACTTCCTGGCGGCCGACGGCCATCAGCTGCACATTCTGCAAATGCCACCGAGTAAAAATAAACCGGCCGCCGCTCCGCCCGGCCGGCTCACCCCGGGCGCACGACTCGGCCCCCTGCCCCGGGACTGTCCGGCCGGCCGGATCCCCCATTCCGGTGCGCCCCCTGGAGCCCCGCTCCCCGACACTCCTCCGCGAGCCACCGCGCGCTCCTTTGCCCTGAAACTCGACCCCAAGTGGCCAGGCGGCCAGGCCCTCTCCCCTTCGGTGCCCCCCTGTATTCCCACAAGCTACCATTCTCGGTCCTCCTCCTGGTGCCTATTTCAGCCGTGCGCCCCTGGATTCAGGGCTCCCCTTCCCCAACTCTTGAGCCCCGAGGTCACCCTCAGCCCACTCTGGGGGGTAGAGACCCCACCAGACCTTCGCCCACCTCGTCCGAGCCCCCTAGGAGTGCACGGCTCCACCCGCCCACCCGCCCACCCGCCTGCCAGCCCGGCGTCCCAAGTCCCCGGACGCAACTTCTCTCCCAGCGCACACGACAACCGCGGCAACTCCCCCGAACTTTTCCCGGGACTCAAGCGGGCTCCGGCCGATAGTCATACGGCCCTGAGCCGGCGCCCCGGCTCCCTGTGCCCAGCCATGCCAGCCCTGCACCGGGGGAGGCTGGGGTGGGGGTTGGGGGCAGTGAGGAGCGCCACTTGCCTCGCCCGGAGCAGCGCACTTAAGACAAACTTCCCAGGCACAAATGAAAACAGGGGCGCCGTTCCCCCCCAGCCAAGCAACCTCTCGCCTTCGTTTTCCCACCAGGAGGCACCCCTTGGCACCCCACAGTGAACACTGCCTACCTCCGCCGGTAGCACTTATACCCCAGTATTGGGGCACAAGAGTCAGTTGGAGGGGCTCCCCACCCACCCCTTCCCTTGAACAAAGTCCTGCAAAGTCACCCCAGGCGCCCCTCACCCCTGCCTCCTTCTCTGCCCCGGAGAGCGCACGAACCCCTGCAGCTCGGGGGACTCGGGGGGAGCTTAGGGGGAAGGAGTGATTACCGGGTATTCGCGAGCACCTGCCCCCCGCCCCCGCCCCGAGCCCGCACCGCGGGGTGCGCCCCCACCCTATTTGCAAAGTCCTGCACTCGCGCCTGGCGCCTCCCCCTCTTCTCCGCTACCCCGCCGCCCCCTCAGTTGGAGTAAGTGACCCCCAGGAGCAGCAGCCCTCTCCTTCCCCGGAATCGCGCGCTGGGCATTCCCTGCGCCCGGGTGCCAGCCCTCCGTGCCCCCTGCCTCCCGCACGGCCGGAGTTGGGTGGCAGCCGCCGCGCGCAGGCTGGCTGGCTGGCTGGCTCTCTCGATCGCTCGCTCGCTCGCCCGCTCCCGGCTGCAAGCGGCAGCCCCGGGGGTGGGGGACTGCACCCGGACTGGGGGCGAGGCGGGGAAGCACCCCGGGAGGGCCGCGGAGCTGAGGGGGTCGGGGGGGCGCGGCGGAGGGAGCGCCGAGTCTCTTACCTGCACTTGGGGCGGCTTTGGGTGACTTTCCAAGTCCGGGGGAAAAATGTGTGTGTGTTTGGGATGGAGCGCCGCGGGCGCGCATGCGCTGCCCAAAGTTGCCGGATCCCGGATTTTTCGCTCCCAGTCTCCGCTCTCGCCCGCTGTGATTATGGAATTCTCCGCGGCCGAGCGGGCGAGTGGGTGGCATGCAAAACCCGGGCCGGATCGCGGGGCCGGGCTCCGCTCCACCCTCACACCCCCAGACCTTCCCCTCCCGGTTTCTACCCACCCGCCGCCCCGGTTGAGCTTTGCTGGCGCGCGCGGCTACACCCGGCCTGCGGAGCAGCATCTGAACGCGTCTCCCTTTTGCGGCTGGAGAAGCCTTCTCCATCCCAGTCAGAGTGGAGTAGAGGCCGGGGGACAAGAGAGGAGGGACAGGAGTGGGTTACTTTCCACCTGTTCTGAACCTTGCGAACCACTCTGCTTCCCACTTTTCCACTGAAGAACTATCTCTGTTCTGCAAGTTAGGATGTTGGAATTGCTGAACCCAGAAGAATGTGATGTTCTCACTGTTTGATACCTGTTTTGCACTTATTCTTTGCCAGGGAGTTTTTCATTGAGTCCATTGTGCAAAAAAATAAATCCCTAAGTGAACAAGATAGGTTGTGAAAAATGAACCTGGGGCCCGGGGCGAGGGGCAGGAGAGAGTTGCAGATAATGTACATTAAAACAAATGGATAATATTATTTCAGAGAGTGAAAGGATCTTGAGGAAAATAAAACAAGGCAGTAAGATAAAGAGTATCTTGGGAGAGCTAATTTCCCTCGCCCAGGCGATAAAGAAGGCCTCTTTGAGGGGAGACCTTCATACTCCATTGGAGATCAACCCCCCTTTTGTCCTTTTGCCCAACTTGCCCACCTCCCAGGTGGTTTGAGGTGGCCACACCAGGCTGAGTCTCGAAGTCAGAAGCAGTAGCTCTGCTCCTGCCTTTCACAGCCAGACCATGCCAGGACTGAGCTAGTCACTGTACCTGTTTTCCCTTTTGAACAAGGACAGGGTGGAAATGGACTTGAAAAAAAGGAGGAAACACATCCAGGGTGAGATAAGGAGAAACTGACTATAATAGTAAACAAATAGCTACATGATTTATTGAATAAATGAATAAAAATTCAGAGTATGACCAGCAACTTGGAGAAGTGTTCAAGAGAAACATTGAACTAGGAGGAAGAGCTACCATCTGTTCAACACCTTTGGGGCTTGGTAGACTTCGGGGCATCATCTGCAAGATCTCAGCAAAGCCTCTCAGGACTAGGGAGCAGTGATGACCTGAGAAGTGGGGAGGTAGGTATTCTAACTTTTGATTTGGGCTCATTCCGCTCCTAGGACAGTGCAAATATGTGATAGGCAGCTCAGGTTTTGGGATCAGACCTCAGTCCCTCACCAGCCAGGTGACCTTGAGTAAGATATTTGACCCCTCTGTGCCTCAGTTTCCTCAACAGTAAAATGGGGATAATAATAGTACTATTGCCAGGGTGGGTTGAGAAGCTAAAATGAGTTAATAAAGGAAAAGTGACTCGGCCAAGGCAGTGATTGATCAATGCCAGTAATTGTCGTTGCTCCCTGGACATCCAGTGTTCCCTCTCCTTCTCATTTCTTCCTGTCCTTTCTCCCTCCCTTCTCCTCGTCTGTCCTTTCTTCTCCCACAACAGCCCTGAGCTCAGTCATTTATTCAGCAGGCATTTGCCGAGCCCCAGTGAAGAGTGCATCCTTCCCAAGGCCGGGGAGATAAAAATGAACTAAGAGGCTTTGCCTCTGAGGAACTGATTGAGGAGTTTGTTCGTCTCTCCCCTCCCTCTTTTCCCACTATAAGGCTCAACTGCCCCCCTCCACACACTCCCCAAAAGCTACAGTCACCCACCAAATTTTTATTAAAACATTTATTCTTCCCTCCATTTTTTCCTCGGATGCTTCCCAATTCTCCCATCCCCCAAGATGTCTTTCTATCTCCTCTGAGGGAACCTCATCTGGGGTGGTGGAAGCTGGAGACAGCGGCAAGCCTGGGAGGACGGAGGGGGACATTGGGGTGAGGTGAAAAGGGGGGGCTCCCTCTTCCTTTCCCACCACCCCCGACTCAAAAAAAAAAAAAGTAGAACGAACTGAGGGACCAGAAGAAAGCACTCCACCCAAAATCAGCCCTCCTCTTGAAAACCTCTAGTGCCTTCTCCCCCTCCCCGACCCCTCCCCATTCCTTTCACAGGGGCTGAAATCAGATGCTCTTTTCCTCATTTTCTTCATCTTAGCATTTCCTGAGCTTTCCCTAAAAGAAAATACAAACTCTTTCCCATGGTCAGCAAGATCTGGTCGCTGCCTCCCCTTGGTCACATTGTCCCAACACCCTAGCCTCTTGCTGCCCTAGAAATCACCAAGCTTGTCGCTACCTCAGGGCCTTTGCACTTGTCCCCTCTGCCCAGAATGCCCTTCTTTCGGCTGCTTCTTTGCATCATTCTGCTCACATGTCACCTCCTCAGGGAGTCTTTCTCCCTAAAGCAGCTCCCAGCCCTTCTCTCTCATTTTGCTCTGTTTGAGTGTCTTCAGAGATTTTGCTTATTCATTTGTTTCTGTATTTCCTGTCCAGCTGCCCCTGCTACAATGGGAGCTCCTTGGAAGCAGGGACCTTGTTTTGTGTCCCCTCATGTCCTCAACACATCAGCCTGGTACCTAGTGGGTCCTTGCTCTCTGGGGTGAATGGAGATAAGCCTCTATGGTCTCCTGCCCTTGAGGGACCTGTCTGCAGGAGAACGACTAGAAAGCACCCAGGACAAAGTTTGGGGGAGGGAGGAGGAACTGGTACAACCTGAGGGTCACCAGGAGTTGCCAAGTTGGATCTGTGGCTTTGCCAAATTTCCCACTCTCTGACTTTTGGCCAGGGGTCGATAGTGGGGAAGCAGATGGCTCTGGTGACCTCAACCTCAACAGAAGAGGCTGCACAGGCAGGAGGGGAAGTGGGGTCAACTAAGGACCCTATGGAAGCCATCCTTCTAGCCCCCTGCTTCTGGGTGGGCTGCCCATGCTCAAGAGCCTCTCCCATTTCTAAATCTCCTGGGAAGACCTTCCGCACTAGACTGTGAGCTTCCCCGTGGTAGGGTCTATGCTTTTGTCACAGAAGCTGAGGAGCCAAGTATGGTGCCATCCAAGAGGCTCTCAGTGATTGATTGTTGAACAAATAAATTTAAGTCTGTCCCTGTTTGTGTAATTGGCACAGCCTTGAAAGTAATCACAGCTCAGCTTCCTGGTCACAGTTTTTGGTTTCTGGTCCTCTGTGGTGAAGGAAAGCAAGACCTAACTGTACGTCAATAGCTGTTATTTGCCGAGTGGTTATTATGTGCCAGCAGCACACTAAACACTTGTATGTGTTGTCCTCACAACAACTGTACGAGGTGGTTACTGTTATGAATATGCCCATTATATGGATGAGGAAACCAAGGCACAGAGAATGACTTTCCCAAGGCTGAGACTGTGCTGCCTGACTCCAGAGCTGATGCTTTTTACCTCCAAGACCAGATGCAGGGATGGGGAGGTGACCAAAGGCTCACTCCATGACTTACCCCAGTGCCACAAGCGGTTACATCTTTACTCTTCATAGAAAGGTGAAACTGGAATATGAGTGCATTGAGAGAAGAGGAGGAAGAGAAGCAGAATAAATCTGTTCTTTAACCATAAAATCTTATTTCAATCCAGTAAAAGACAAAAAGAATCAAAGAAATCAGAGGACCAGACACCAGATTTTATACACGTGAAGCACTCAGTAAGTACTGGCAAAGAATCACTATTTTTAAATGTAAAAATTACAGACTATGTACTTGTTTCTGTTTTTCCTAAGCTGCCTTAAGTTAGAGGTTCCCCTTGGGTGAGGTCTGTGTCTTTTGGGTTCACTGGGTCTCGTATGGTTCTGGCATCACAGTGGGTGCTCAATAGACACTTAGTGACTGAATAATTAAACAAATGCCCGAGATAAGTGATTATGGTGATTACTGGGCAAGTTGTAATTAAAAATAAAAAAAGCTGAGTGCATTTTTTTTTTTTATTTACAAATGCCTCTCTTGGGGGTCCAGGAGCAGGAGGAGGGGAGAGAGGAGCTTCTTCCCAAATGCTAAGCTTGGTTCCCCAGTCTCATCCAAGTTGGCCAACTTGCCAAGCCCTTCCACCCCCAAATTCCCTCTTTCCTTTTTGTAAAGTACGTGTTATTTGTTTCTGACTATATATATGTATATATATATAATGTATTTATTGTAGAAAATTCAGAAAGTACAGATAAACAGGAAGAAAAAGTTAATTGTCTGTAATCCCACCACCCATGAATAATTCACTGCTGATGTTTCAATGTATTTCCTGCCAGTCTAGGGTTTTTGTTTGTTTTTTGTTTTTGCTTTGTTTTGTTTTATACAATCAGCACACTGAACATTCCAGGTTTTTTTTAAGCCTGCTATGTGTATGTAGGGTTTCCCAGGTGGCTCAGTGGTAAGAACTTGCCTGCCAACGCAGTAGATGCAAGAAACTCTGGTTCGATTCCTGGGTCAGGAAGATCCCCTGGAGAAGGAAATGGCAGTATTCTTGCTAGGGTAACTTCATGGACAGAGGATCCTGGAGAGCTCCAGTCCATGGGGTCGCAAAGAGTCAGACATGACTGAGCACATACCAACACATGTGTATGTGGCATGAACATTTTCTCCCGTCATTAAATGCTCTTCCACAACACGATGTTATGTAGACCCACAGCAGAGCTTAATCATAATTTACTTAACCAGTCCCCCACTATTGAAAACTTTGGACATCAAATTCATTCCCAATTCATTTCATTATTATAAATAACGCTAATGAATATCCTTGTCCATAAATAATGGTGCACATTCCTTCAAGTGAAATTGTCAAGTCAAAGAGTGTGCGCGCATTTCAGAGCTTTGATTCCCAGTTGCCAGTGCCCCCTCCTTGTTAGGCTGTATGGACTTGCCCTCCAACCAGCAGCCTGTGAGCAAGTCCCATCTCTCCAAACGCTCTCCAGCCTTTGGTATTCTCACTTTTTTTTTTTAACCCCTATTAATTTAATGGGTGAAAGAGTCTGTGATTCTAGTAATGAATCCTTATTAGAACTGTGCTGGCCACAAGCAGGGGCTGTTTCAAGGTTTGAATGGCCTTGTTCAGACCCACAACTTAGGGCAGAGATGAGAAAAACAGATGCTTAGGAGCGGGGAGTTGGAGAGGAGAGCAGAGATCTCTTACAGGTTCTGGGGGAGCTTCTAGACTGTCTACCTGAGCCCAGGCTTCTT